TTTCTGACATCTTTACTGAATACTAATTAATTATTTAACGTGTTTAAATTTGCCCTTTTCACTTTTGAATAAAACCCACTAAATGCATAAGAGAATGTAAATGATAATACAACGGACTACTGTAAAACCGTGAGTTATATTGTTGTTTTACACGTTCTCGAATATTTAATTTAGGGGATTTTATATATCAAGAAAAACAGCAAAATTAAAACCCAGTGAATAATTAATGCATTTTCAGTATTTTATTGAAAATCTGTGATTTAAACCCAATCTATATGATCAAATATCATAAAAGTAAATTAAATCCCAGTGAAAATAAATGTTGTTACAATAATTTGCTCATGTTATTATTTAAGTGGATGGCCCAAATATGTACCCTCAAATATTTCAGAAAATATTGAACGATCAGGCATTTGGCTACATTGTACCTGAATAATTGCTGTATCCATATTATATGTGTTTTACATTCAGTTAATAAATGCAAATTCATTCAAATTTGCGGTTTTGACTGGTCAATCAGTAGGTGTGTGTAATTCTTAGAGTAAAACACCTCTTACAACCCACCTGTAAAATTATGCTTTGCTTTCTTTTCCACAGACCTGTTACCAAGAAATCATTGGCAAAACTTCCACAACAGTTCACTCCAAGTCATACAGCTCACAATGTTCATTATGCGCCGGAATTTCCGTCTTCTCGTCAAGCCCTCAGCAATAAAAGTCAGTTTATACCAATGCAATACCGCACACAACCTCTCAATATGCCTGGTCCCCCCTTACATCGAGGGAACACTATGGCAAACCTACACGACAAAGGTAAGAAGACTCTGTCAGTGCAAGATTAGAATTCTATCTTGAATATTATTTGTAAACTCGACTTTAAAAATTAAATCTTTCAGAGAAAATACTTTCACAAGAGAATTTGAATCAGTAGTTAGGTGGTTGTTTTCCCCGCAAAAAGGTGGCACAAATATTTGCAAATTTGTTGTTTTCTAGAAAGGACTAAACTGAGTCAACCTCTTATTCCAGTATTTCTATTTTGATACCTTGTTGTACAAACAAATAAAAAAAAAAAAAAATGTGTGATATTCAAGTAATACTGTAAACAACTTTTTGCAAGAAAATCTGGAAAAAATGAACTTATGCTGACATACTGTATGAGTATTGTGAAAACAACTTTTGTGAGATGCAAATATTCAAGAATTTTGTGAGTCTTAGCTGTAGATTGGGAGTCATGGAATTTAAAAAGTGTTCACACTTTGTGACTTTCCGATAGCTTAAGCCAATGCCATATTTTGACAACTAATTTGAATTGAAAAATGATTAAAATACATAAATAACTTTATTTCATTTTTCAAAAACTAGTTTAGCTACCCAACATTTTATTTTGAGGCTTTCAGGTAGCCAGTCACAAAGAATATAATATAGCAGAATTGCAGGAAATGAAAAGTGTGTAATAGCGTTATAATAGCTTGAAATAGGGCCTGAGAATGTATTTCTCATTCAAATTTAACAATGTCATCACTACTGTACCTCCTATCTTCCTCATAATTCTCTTTTTCTCATTCTAATTTAACAATGTCATCACTATTGTACCTTCTATCTTCCTCATAATTCTCCATTTCTCATTCTAATTTAACAATGTCATCACTACTGTACCTCCTATCTTCCTCATAATTCTCTTTTTAGCTCCGCTGTCGACTTTGTCGAGCGGAGCCTATCATATGAGTGATTGTCCGTCGTCTGTGTCAATGTTTTACTTTTTCGACTTCTTCTTGAAAACTACAAGCCTGAATGTTTTGATACTTGGTGTATATGTACCTTGGGTAGACCTCTCTCAGATTTGTTCATTTCATGATCATATCTTCAATTCTCTAATTTTGGTGAATATTTTTGTCATTTTTGATAAAAAGTGATATTTTCGACTTCTTGTTAAAAACTGCGAGTCCAATTGCTTTGATATTACATATATAGATACTACATGTGGACCTCTCTCAGATTTGTTCATTTCATGATGATATCTTCAATTCTCTAATTTTGATGAATATTTTTGTCATTTTTGGTAAAAAGTGATATTTTTGACTTCTTGTTAAAAACTGCAAATCCAATTGCTTTGATATTACATATATAGGTACTACATGTGGACCTCTCTCAGATTTGTTCATTTTGTAATGATATCTTTAATTCTCTAATTTTGGTGAATATTTTTGTCATTTTTGGTAAAAAGTGATATTTTCAACTTCTTGTTAAAAACCGCAAGTCCAATTGCTTTGATAGTACATATATAGGTACTACATGTGGACCTCTCTCAGATTTGTTCATT